ATGAATGGCAAAGCTAGAGTGGGAGCTGGCAAAAGCTGAAAAATCAGACATGATTTCTAAACTGCCACCACTCCCTTATTTTCAGGCCCACCTACACAAATCTTATATCAAAACGTTCAGCTATCCCTGCTGCCACTAAACATGTAAACGGCTAAGCCGTAGTCCTGATAGTTTTCACAACATGACCATTTGTTTGCAACCAACGCCGTCCATTGACATTCATTGAAACTTCACTCTGCAAAGCTCAAATTTGAAGTGCAATTTCTAAACTGCGACTGTGCCTTCATTTTTAATACTTCAGAGATATACTATGCATCAAAATGTAGGTCTGGGTCTTGTGATTCTCACAATATAAAGCTCTTCACTGTAGGATTTATAGTTTTTAAATATGACCGTTTGAAGATGGCAACCACCAAAATACTCTGACCTGTCAAGGCTGCAGCAGCAAGTGATGTCATAGACAGGGCCTTTTGAACACCTGCTAATGTTTTTTATAAATGTATGGTTTAATGTAACTGTAACAACGCTAGTAAATTTGAATGTGCGACTACTGGTGGAGGTAAGAATACTTGGCCACAATTTCCCCAGAAATTGTAGCTTTCTAGTTATTATTATTAAGTGTTCTTGCATAGCAAGACCACTTAATGTTATCTCACATATATATTATTATTATTATTCTTATTCTTATTATAGCAAAATTTAAGCACCCTAATCCCTCCCACAGTTTTTACAATTACATAGACAAAAAATTTACCAAAACGTGCAGATTGTTCCCGATCGGATTGCTATTACTTTGTGGAACGTTTCGCCGAATGGTTCACGGAATATCGTCGTTCTTGTGGCGAAATTTGTCCCATAGGAATGAATGGCAAAGCTAGAGTGGGAGCTGGCAAAAGCTGGAAAATCAGGACATGATTTCTAAACTGCCACCACTCCCTTATTTTCAGGCCCACCTACACAAATCTTATATCAAAACGTTCAGCTATCCCTGCTGCCACTAAACATGTCAACGGCTAAGCCGTAGTCCTGATAGTTTTCACAATATGACCATTTGTTTGCAACCAACGCCGCCCATTGACATTCATTGAAACTTCACTCTGCAAAGCTCAAATTTGAAGTGCAATTTCTAAACTGCGACTGTGCCTTCAATTTTAATACTTCAGAGACATACTATGCATCAAAATGTAGGTCTGGGTCTTGTGATTCTCACAATATAAAGCTCTTCGCTGTAGGATTTATAGTTTTTAAAATATGACCGCTTGAAGATGGCAACCACCAAAATACTCTGACCTGTCAAGGTTGCAGCAGCAAGTGATGTCATAGACAGGGCCTTTTGAACACCTGCTAATGTTTTTATAAATGTATGGTTTAATGTAACTGTGCAACAACGTTGCAATTGAATGTGCTAGACTACTGGTTGAGGCAAGAACACTTCACACAATTTCCCCAGAAATTGTAGCTTTTCTAGTTATTATTATTAAGTGTTCTTGCATAGCAAGACCACTTAATGTTATCTCACATATATATTATTATTATTATTATTATAGCAAAATTTGCTACCCTAACTCCTCCCACAGTTTTTACACTACATAGACAAAAATTTACCAAAACGTGCAGATTGTTCCCGATCGGATTGCTATTACTTTGTGGAACGCTTCGCCGAATGGTTCACGGAATATCGTCGTTCTTGTGGCGAAATTTGTCCCATAGGAATGAATGGCAAAGCTAGAGTGGGAGCTGGCAAAAGCTGAAAAATCAGGACATGATTTCTAAACTGCCACCACTCCCTTATTTTCAGGCCACCTACACAAATCTTATATCAAAACGTTCAGCTATCCCTGCTGCCACTAAACATGTCAACGGTTAAGCCGTAGTCCTGATAGTTTTCACAATATGACCATTTGTTTGCAACCAACGCCGTCCATTGACATTCATTGAAACTTCACTCTGCAAAGCTCAAATTTGAAGTGCAATTTCTAAACTGCGACTGTGCCTTCATTTTTAATACTTCAGAGACATAATATGCATCAAAATGTAGGTCTGGATCTTGTGATTCTCACAATATAAAGCTCTTCGCTGTAGGATTTATAGTTTTTAAAATATGACCGTTTGAAGATGGCAACCACCAAAATACTCTGACCTGTCAAGGCTGCAGCAGAAAGTGATGTCATAGACAGGGCCTTGAAATCTTTGCTAATGTTTTTATAAATGTATGGTTTATCGTAACTGTGCAACAACGCTGTACTAAATGTGCTATATAAATGATATCAGAAGTTACTCCGCCACTTCACTCCAGTTGTAGACTACTGGTGGAGGTAAAGAACATCACACAATTTCACCAGAAATTGTAGCTTTTCTAGTTATTATTAAGTGTTCTTGCATAAAGCAAGACCAATTTTAATGTTATCTCTCAACATATATATTATTATTATTATTATTATAAAGCAAAATTTGCCACCCTAACTCCTCCCACAGTTAAGCACTACATAGACAAAAATTTACCAAAAACGTGCAGATTGTTCCCTGATCGGATTAAAAGTTATTACTTTATGGAACGCTTCACGTAATGGTTCACGGAATATCGTCGTTCTCGTGGCGAAATTTGTCCCATAGGAATGAATGGCAAAGCTAGAGTGGGAGCTGGCAAAAGCTGAAAAATCAGGACATGATTTCTAAACTGCCACCACTCCCTCATTTTCAAGCCCACCTACACAAATCTTATATCAAAACGTTCAGCTATCCCTGCTGCCACTAAACATGTCAACGGCTTAGCTATAGTACTGATAGTTTTCACGATATAATCATTTGTTTGCAACTAACGACATCCATTGACTTTCATTGAAACTTCACTCTGCAAAGATCAAATTTGAAGTGCAATTTCTAAACTGCGACTGTGCCTTCAATTTTAATACTTCAGAGACATACTATGCATCAAAATGTAGGTCTGGGTCTTGTGATTCTCACAATATAAAGCTCTTCGCTGTAGGATTTATAGTTTTTAAAATATGACCGTTTGAAGATGGCAACCACCAAAATACTCTGACCTGTTAAGGCTGCAGCAGCAAGTGATGTCATAGACAGGGCCTTTTGAACACCTGCTAATGTTTTTATAAATGTATGGTTTAATGTAACTGTGCAACAACGTTGAAATTAAATGTGCTATGTAAATGATAACAGTTACTCCGCCCACTCCAGTTGTAGACTACAGGTGGAGGCAAGAACACTTCACACAATTTCCCCTGAAATTGTAACTTTTCAAGTTATTATTATTATTCTTATTATAGCAAAATTTGCCACCCTAACTCCTCCCACAGTTTTTACACTACATAGACAAAAATTTATCAAAACGTGCAGATTGTTCCCGATCGGATTGCTATTACTTTGTGGAACGTTTCGCCGAATGGTTCACGGAATATCGTCGTTCTTGTGGCGAAATTTGTCCCATAGGAATGAATGGCAAAGCTAGAGTGGGAGCTGGCAAAAGCTGAAAAATCAGGACATGATTTCTAAACTGCCACCACTCCCTTATTTTCAGGCCCACCTACACAAATCTTATATCAAAACGTTCAGCTATCCCTGCTGCCACTAAACATGTCAACGGCTAAGCCGTAGTCCTGATAGTTTTCACAATATAATCATTTGTTTGCAACTAACGCCGTCCATTGACATTCATTGAAACTTCACTCTGCAAAACTCAAATTTGAAGTGCAATTTCTAAACTGCGACTGTGCCTTCAATTTTAATACTTCAGAGACATACTATGCATCAAAATGTAGGTCTGGGTCTTGTGATTCTCACAATATAAAGCTCTTCACTGTAGGAGTTATAGTTTTGAAGATACGACCGTTAGAAGATGGCAACCGCCAAAATACTCTGACCTGTGTCAAGCTGCAGCAGCAAGTGATGTCATAGACAGGGCCTTTTGAACACCTGCTAATGTTTTTATAAATGTATGGTTTAATGTAACTGTGCAACAGCGTTGCAATTAAATGTGCTATGTAAATGATAACAGTTACTCCGCCCACTCCAGTTGTAGACTACAGGTGGAGGCAGAACACTTCACACAATTTCCCCAGAAATTGTAACTTTTCTAGTTAAGTGTTTGCTTGCGCTTGGCAGGCACCATAATGTTATCTCACATATATATTATTATTATTCTTATTATAGCAAAATTTGCCACCCTAACTCCTCCCACAGTTTTTACACTACATAGACAAAAATTTACCAAAACGTGCAGATTGTTCCCGATCGGATTGCTATTACTTTGTGGAACGTTTAGCCGAATGGTTCACGGAATATCGTCGTTCTTGTGGCGAAATTTGTCCCATAGGAATGAATGGCAAAGCTAGAGTGGGGGCTGGCAAAAGCTGAAAAATCAGGACATGATTTCTAAACTGCCACCACTCCCTTATTTTCAGGCCCACCTACACAAATCTTATATCAAAACGTTCAGCTATCCCTCATGCCACTAAACATGTCAACGGCTAAGCCATAGTCCTGATAGTTTTCACAATATAATCATTTGTTTGCAACTAACGCCGTCCATTGACTTTCATTGAAACTTCACTCTGCAAATCTCAAATTTGAAGTGCAATTTCTAAACTGCGACTCTGCCTTCAATTTTAATACTTCAGAGACATACTATGCATCGAAATGTAGGTCTGGGTCTTGTGATTCTCACAATATAAAGCTCTTCGCTGTAGGAGTTATAGTTATTAAGATACGACCATTTGAAGATGGCAACCACCAAAATACTCTGACCTGTGTCAAGCTGCAGCAGCAAGTGATGTCATAGACAGGGCCTTTTGAACACCACCACTAATGTTTTATAAATATGGTTTAATGTAATGTGCAACAAATTTGCAATTAAATGCTCCTATATAAAGTAGATACTTAGTTACTCATTACACCTCAGTTACTTAGACTACTGGTGGAGGCAGAACACTTCACACAATTTCACTTAGAAATTGCTTAGCTTTTCTAGTTAAAGTGTTCTTGCATATAAGGGCTCACCAATGTTATCTCATATATACAATATTATTATTATTATTATTGTGTATTCTTTATTATAGCAAAATTTGCCACCTAACTAACTCCTCCCACAGTTTTTTACTACATAGACCAAAGAATTTGCAAAGCATTGCGCAGATTGTTCCCGATAGGATTGCTATTACTTTGTGGAACGTTTCGCCGAATGGTTCACGGAATATCGTCGTTCTTGTGGCGAAATTTGTCCCATAGGAATGAATGGCAAAGCTAGAGTGGGAGCTGGCAAAAGCTGAAAAATCAGGACATGATTTCTAAACTGCCACCACTCCTTATTTTCAGGCCCACCTACACAAATCTTATATCAAAACGTTCAGCTATCCCTCCTGCCACTAAACATGTCAACGGCTAAGCCATAGTCATGATAGTTTTCACAATATAATCATTTGTTTGCAACTAATGCCGTCCATTGACTTTCATTGAAACTTCACTCTGCAAAGCTCAAATTTGAAGTGCAATTTCTAAACTGCGACTGTGCCTTCAATTTTAATACTTCAGAGACATACTATGCATCAAAATGTGGGTCTGGGTCTTGTGATTCTCACAATATAAAGCGCTCTTCGCTGTAGGGTTATAGTTTTTAAAAGATACGACGTTTGAAGATGGCAACAGCAAAATACTCTGACCTGTACCGAAGCTGCAGCAGCAAGTGATGTCATAGACAAGACGCGCAGACACCTGCTAATGTTTTTATAAATGCTTGTGGTTTTAATGTAACTGTGCAACAACGTTGCAATTAAATAATGTATATAAATGATAACAGTTACTCCATACACTCAGTTGCCAGACTACTGGTGGAGCAAGAAACACTTCACACAATTTCACCAGAAATTGCTTGGCTTTTCTAGATTATTAATCATTTATTAAGTGTTCTTGCATACTTAAGACCACTTATGTTATCTCCACATATATATTATTATTATTATTATTATTCTTATTATAGCAAAATTTGCCACCCTAACTCCTCCCACAGTTTTTACACTACATAGACAAAAATTTACCAAAACGTGCAGATTGTTCCCGGTCGGATTGCTATTACTTTGTGGAACGTTTCGCCGAATGGTTCACGGAATATCGTCGTTCTTGTGGCGAAATTTGTCCCATAGGAATGAATGGCAAAGCTAGAGTGGGAGCTGGCAAAACTGAAAAATCAGGACATGATTTCTAAACTGCCACCACTCCCTTATTTTCAGGCCCACCTACACAAATCTTATATCAAAACGTTCAGCTATCCCTGCTGCCACTAAACATGTCAACGGCTAAGCCATAGTCCTGATAGTTTTCACAATATAATCATTTGTTTTCAACTAACGCCGTCCATTGACATTCATTGAAACTTCCCTCTACAAAGCTCAAATTTGAAGTGCAATTTCTAAACTGCGACTGTGCCTTCATTTTTAATACTTCAGAGACATACTATGCATCAAAATGTAGGTCTGGGTCTTCTGATTCTCTGAAAATGTAAAGCTCTTCGCTGTAGGAGGTTATAGTTATTAGATACGACCATTTTGAAGATGGCAACCACCAAAATACTCTGACCTGTGTCAAGCTGCAGCGGCAAGTGATGTCATAGACAGGGCCTTTTGAACACCTGCTAATGTTTTTATAAATGTATGGTTTAATGTAACTGTGCAACAACGTTGCAATTAAATGTGCTATGTAAATGATAACAGTTACTCGCCCACTCCAGTTGTAGACTACTGGTGGAGGCAAGAACACTTCACACAATTTCACCAGAAATTGTAGCTTTTCTAGTTAAGTGTTCTTGCATAGCAAGACCACTTAATGTTATCTCACATATATATTATTATTATTCTTATTATAGCAAAATTTGCCACCCTAACTCCTCCCACAGTTTTTACACTACATAGACAAAAATTTACCAAAACGTGCAGATTGTTTCCGATCGGATTGCTATTACTTTGTGGAACGTTTCGCCGAATGGTTCACGGAATATCGTCGTTCTTGTGGCGAGATTTGTCCCATAGGAATGAATGGCAAAGCTAGAGTGGTAGCTGCCAAAAGCTGAAAAATCAGGACATGATTTCTAAACTGCCACCACTCCCTCATTTTCAAGCCCAGCTACACAAATCTTATATCAAAACGTTCAGCTATCCCTGCTGCCACTAAACATGTAAACGGCTAAGCCGTAGTCCTGATAGTTTTCACAATATGACCATTTGTTTGCAACCAACGCCGTCCATTGACATTCATTGAAACTTCACTCTGCAAAGCTCAAATTTGAAGTGTAATTTCTAAACTGTGACTGTGCCTTCATTTTTAATACTTCAGAGACATACTATGCATCAAAATGTAGGTCTGGGTCTTGTGATTCTCACAATATAAAGCTCTTCGCTGTAGGATGTATAGTTTTTAAGATACGACCGTTTGAAGATGGCAACAGCCAAAATACTCTGACCTGTGTCAAGCTGCAGCAGCAAGTGATGTCATAGACAAGGCCTTTTGAACACCTGCTAATGTTTTATAAATGTATGGTTTAATGTAACTGTGCAACAACGTTGCAATTAAATGTGCTATGTAAATGATAACAGTTACTCCGCCCACTCCAGTTGTAGACTACAGGTGGAGGCAAGAACACTTCACACAATTTCCCCAGAAATTGTAGCTTTTCTAGTTATTTCCTTGTAATGTCCCTTTGTTGGTCTCTGGTCTCCCACTTCCAAAAACAAATTTCCCAGAATACTACAGTGATGGCCTACCATTAGATACATTTGCACATTACAAACTGCAATCATGGCATTTAGCCCATACAAGAACTCTACAAAACAGTGTATGGAAGTAGGTCTGGCCAGCGTGGGTGCCAACTAGCCTGGTGTGTATGGCTCTAACCCACCACTTTCTTTCAGGTAATCCTGCCTCTATGGTATCCCCAAAGAGACACATGCAATCACTGGTTGGCCTTGCCAAACTTTTGGTCTAAGGTTCAAACCTTCCAATATTGGGGATATGTGATGCCCCCAATTGCTTCTGCAACTACCAACTGCTTCTACGTGTTCATCCTATAGTTGATGAAAAGCAAACCAAAGTGCCTATTTATGGAAACGTATTGTAGTAAATGGTACTGTTCATTCTTTTTCTACTATGGAAACTACAAAGTCTGCTTTTTTATACGTATTTAGTAACTTTTTTCTATCTATCTATCTTTAATATATATGTGTGTTTGTGTGTATATGTATATATGAACAAAATCTACGAAAATGAAAAAATGGTGTAGGGAAAATGTTTACTATTTTTATATGTATTTCTGGAATCTACAGAAAACCAACTGTTTTCCTTTTTTATGACTAGTTACTTGTGAGAGTCTGGGGCAGTTTATGCTTGTTTCTGTTTTTGGAAAAAATGCATCGGGTAATTTCTTTGTGAGTTCTACAGAGATTTTAATCCAAAGTATACGAACAGAATTAGCTTCTTGTTAATATTATGGTTCAGACAGTAATTTCAAGTGTTTTGTAGTAAACTGGACTGTATTTCCCAAATTAGAGATTGATAATGTAAGTACTTAACATAGATGGAAATAAGTGAGGTCTCTTAATTTTACAAGGGATCAAGTGGAAACTTTATCTTGGAATTTATGAACTTGTAAATTAACTACCGGTAAATAATGTTAAAGTAAAAAAAAAAACTAAACAAAACACAAAACTTTAGTGGATCAAGTGAAACTACTGATTTTAGGCTTCATAACTCCAAATGGAGAAACAAAGGAAAACAAAATATACTAGAGGTATAGATTTAAAAACTTTTTTTTATGTGATGAATACATTTTTTTTCTCATCTTAAACCATGCTCATTACACATATCAATAAGGTGATTTTTTTCATTTTGATTTTCTCCCTTGCACAAACCGTATGTATAGTTTCCTGGGCAATCAAGGACCTTTCATATATCTCATTTAATGCTGCCTTAGTTGAGTGCTGTATATAGTATTATTTTTTTTGCTTAATGACAAACTGTAATACAGTAGTGTATAATTTGTGCAGTGCTGGACTTTATCAAACTGTTTGAAGTTGTGTTATAACATTAACTGTTGCTTACAAAGCACAATGCAAAAATGTTGGATTTTTTTGCAAATGAGCCTAATAAAGTCTTTAAAAAAATATTTTTGTCTTCTCTTCTTTTTTTGAAGCATATTTACATTTGATGTGGTGTTTTTAGTTTAGTTTTTGTTTTATGCGTTTAAATTTGAGTAACTGAAAACGATTTTGTTATGTGCTTTTTACAAATTTTGAAACAGAGTTCTTACCTCCATTTGAAAAGCAAGATAACATGACAAAAAGAAGAATTAACTTGCACTTTTTGATTGTTTAAACTTTGATAAAAAGGTGCAAGCTCCTCCCTGGAAAGAACATTTTAGAAAAAGGATAAGTGACAACCTTTCTACACAAACAAAGTACATTTTGGAAAGCCAAAGTTCAGTTTGAAAACATATATCTTCACAAAACATGATGGGGTATTTCAATAATACTTAAATTATCTTTTAAAGTTTTCACTAAGCACCATCACCACTGCAGTCACAAGTGCACTGCAAGTACCATAACCACTGTAAATTATTGTAATAGTTATGGTGCTTGAAGTTCCCTGGCAAAGTGAGTCATTGTTTCTGGGGTTCTCTGTGTGCCCACTACTGCAACTCCTTGAGCCAAAACTCATGCAAGGAACTTTGATTAGCATCACTGAGCTTATCCCCTGATGTGCAGGGCTTGCTCTTTGACGGAGAGCATTAGTTGAGAGCTCTTTGTCAATGAGAACCTCCTTGCAATGCCCTGCAGCAGTAACATGTGTAGAAGAACCTCAGCAGATGCATGGCATACAGGTAAGTTGTAAAACTGTTCTGTAGTGGTTATGGTGACAGGAGTGTTCCAGTAGAGGTGTGTAACTCCATGCATTGTCATGCTGTACTGACAGACACAGGACTCCTTCAAAACTATGTATATAAAGGGTTGTATAAATTAATTAATGTTGTGAAAGTTTTCCTAGCACCATGGACAGCAACATAATATTCCTGCTGATTGTTCCACTTTTGAAACTTTGAAGGCATAACACATTTCACTGATAACCCCCTTGGTTTTCATTTTATGTCTACACAGATTGCATGTTTTGAATAATGAATAAAATGTCATCTTTGGTTTATCTGTTATGTTTCAGTAATTTCAGACTTTGTTCTAGTAACCATTCTGTCAGTTTGAAGAAAAATTATATAAACATCATGCACATGGCATAAACAATTAAACACAAACATCTGTCCGTGTGTTATTCAGTTACCTATATGTTGAGAATGTTGAAAATATGGACACCACAAAGTCTTGAAGTCTTGTGGCTTGCTTAGTAGTAAACAAAAGCTTCAACAGGATTAGAGGTAAGTAAACAACCAGATGTATAAAGGATAAAACTGAAAACAGAGGAGTCTAGTTGATGAGTTGGTAATCCAGGGCTTGACAAGTTTGAAAAAAGAGCCAGCTAAAAAAGTTAGGAGCCGACAAAAAATACAATTCTTAAAGCACACTATAGGGTCAGAAATATGTTTGTGTCACCAGAACCACTACAGCTTATAGGAGCACTATAGGGTCAGGAACATAAACATATATTTCTGACCACTGTAGTGTTAAAATCACCATCTTGCCTTCCTAAATATAGTAAAATCTTATTTGTATTCAAGCCTGAAGCTGATGGCTCCGCCCCTGTCTGCCTCAGAATAGCAAGCTGTCTGCTGACATCATCAGCATTGTTGTCCTGAGCCAATCACAATGCTTTCCCATAGGATTGAGACTGTGAAGAAGGCACATCAGGGGCAGAGCCAGCACAAGTCAAACACAGCCCTGGTCAATCAGCATCTCCTCATACAGATGCATTGAATCAATGAATCTCTATGAGGAAAATTCTGTGTCTGCACGCAGAGGTAGGAGATACTGATATGTTGTGATGCACACTAGGCAAGACTGAGATAGGAAGGATCTCTAACAGTCATCTGAGAAGTGGCCCGTGAAGTTATCACTAGGCTGTAATGTAAACACTGCATTGTCTCTAAAAAGACCGTCTTTACAGCAAAAGGGCTTAAAGGACCACTCTAGGCACCCAGACCACTTCAGCTTAATGAAGTGGTCTGGGTGCCAGGTCCTTCTAGGGTTAACCCATTTTTTCATAATTATAGCAGTTTCAGAGAAACTGCTATAATTATGAATGGGTTAAGCCTTCCCCCTAATCCTCTAGTAGCTGTCTCATTGACAGCCACTAGAAGCGATGCTTCTCACTGTGATTTTCACAGTGAGAGCATCGATCTATAAGCATTGTAAATGCTTTCCTATGCGACGGAGCTGAATCTTGTAGCGCAGCTCTTGCAGCGTGCGCTCAGCGGCGGAATCGGGGGAGAGGAGGGAGAGAGCTCTCCGCCCAGCGCTGGAAAAAGGTAAGTTATTACCCCTTTCCCCCTTCCAGAGCCGGGCGGGAGGGGGTCCCTGAGGGTGGGGGCACCCTCAGGGCACTATAGTGCCAGGAAAACGAGTATGTTTTCCTGGCACTATAGTGGTCCTTTAAGGGTATGATTATACTCACCAGAACAAATGCAAGAAGCTGTAGTTGTTCTGGTGAGTATAGTGTCCCTTTAATGTAATGACTCTTGTGTCTATAGCCTCTCCTGGCAGTCGTTTCAATGTAAACACTGTCTTTTCAGAGAAAAGGCAGTTTTTACATTGCTGCGTAGTAACACCTCTAGTGGCTGTCACTCAGATGGCCACTTAAGTGTCTCCTATCTCAGTGCTGCACCTATGCGTTCTGCATGGAGGTGCTGAACGTTTCATAGAGATGCTTTTGATTGATTTAATGCATCTCTATGAGAAGATGCTGGTTGGCAATTCACAGATTTTACTATTACCATGACGTAAAGTCATGATTTTATTAACGACACGGGGGCTCCTATTATGCTGCACTCTTTCTTTATATTCCCTCAGCAGCAAAGAAAACAATGTAAACATAACCAGTAGTAACAGTAAACAGTCTGAGAGGAATATCTTCTTAGCAACAGGAACAGCCAATCGGATTCCACTCTCCAGCATAATAGGCTCTGTCAACCAATCTGATTCCTCTTTATTTGTGATCCTGAAGCAGTATAACCATCCAACCGAAAAAGGGACCGTGTAACAAGGGGATATCCCTAACGATCTGAAGTAGGTTAGGCTGTAAGAAAGAAATATGGTAATATCCTAGAATAAAACTGGGTGTACGCATAAATCATAAACCGTCATAATATAATTTTAATTCTTTTAAGCCATTGTGGTTAAGTGAAGTTTTGACAAGCATAACCTGCAGAAAAACTCCATGACTACCAGGACTTACCGTGAAATCAACCCAGATTCCATCCTTCCACGGTATGGGCAGGAGGGATAATATTCGCCTCCGTGTCGTTAATAAAATCATGACTTTACGTCATGGTAATAGTAAAATCTGTGAGTTTTATTAAGACACAGAGGCTCCTATTATGCTGGTTTAAAGCTGGGAGATTACCGTTCCTGTGAAGTGTTGAACGGGTTTAAAGTGAAAGTCACGAAAGGTAGATTTTGAGGACCAATCGGCCGCCTTCAAAATGTCTTGAAGATGACAACCAATCGAGGAGGCCCTGGAAGCCATCGCTCCTCGTACTGAGTGAGGTGTCAATGCCCGCTAGGGACATAATCCATTTAACCCAGCGAACCAGGGTAGAAGTAGACACTGGTAGGTGTGGTTTTTGGAAGGACACGAAGAGTTCGTGTTTCGTTATGTCTCGTAGTGTGGAGGTGCGAAGTTCATAAGTTTGTAAGCATTTGACCGAGCATAAGAGCAGCCTGTCAGGAAACCCTGGGTATGACACTTTCTTTGATGACGTCTTTGGTCTTCGAGATATATCGAAAGTGACACCTTCCGGAGTGTAGGAACGTGCGGTAATGTCCAAGGCTCTAACATCGGAGACTCTCTTGCAGGATATGAGGCAGAGGAGTATAACCAGCTTTGCTGACTGTTGCTTCAGGGATAGAAGTGCATACTCTGGCCATGATTCGAGAAAATTGAGGATGATGGAAACGTCCCATAGTACCGAATATCGTGGTAGTGGGGGGACGTGCAAATTTGATGCTGCGTAGGAGTCTACATATCAGCGGGTGGCGTCCTATCGGGACTCAATCTATACCTTGGTGTGAAGCCGAAATGGCCGATCGGTACAGGTTCACTGTACGATAGGCTTTGCCATCTTCAAACAATGAAGTTAGGAATTGGAGGATCGAAGTCAGAGGAGCCGAAATGGGATCCAAATCTCGTTCCAGGCACCAATCTCGCCAACTGCTCCATGAAGACTTATAAGCCTGTCTCGTACCGGGCGCCCTTGAGAAGGTGGAGAGTTGATTCTGAAACTCCCTCGATTGCCCAAGGTCCCCTGAAATTAGCCTCACTGTTAGATGTAGTAGGCCTTGTTGTACCGGGGGTGAGGGGATCGGTCCAGGTCCTGAAGCAGGAGAATGCGGGGTATGTCTATCGCCATCTCTAAGAGGGGGGGAAACCATGGTTGGGAGGGCCATAACGGTGCCACAATCACCAGAGTTCCCATCTGGCGTCGTAATTGCAGTAGGCAATGGGGAATCAATGCAAACGGTTTAAAGGCATAATTCCTTGTGGACGACCAATCTTGGGTGAACGCATCTGTTGCCAGTGCTGATACGTCCGGTCTCCAGCTGAAAGATCTGGGAAGTTGTGTATTCAAGCGGGAGGCGAAAAAATCTTTGTCCATGGGGCCCCATAACGACTGGATATCTCGGAAGACCCTGGGATCCAGTTGCCAATCACTGGGGTCCCAGAAGTGTCGTGAGTACCAATCTGCTGTGGTGTTGCAGAGCCCCAGAATATATTCTGCTGTGACCGAGATGCCCTGAGTAAGGCAGAACTGCCAAAAATCTTGTGCCATGTAAGCCAGGACCTTTGATTTTGTGCCCCCTAGATGGTTGATATATCGGACTGCCGATATATTGTCCATCTTCAGAAGGATAGAGCATTGGGCTTGAGTTGGCGAGAAGCTGCGGATTGCAAAGGATCCTGCCAGGAGTTCCAGGCAATTGATGTGGAGTGTAGATGCCATGTCGG